AAAAGGGTTAGGAGAGACTGGCTCCACTGTGCTGCCTTTCATCGAAATGTTAGTTCCATAAATAATTTGGTGAGGGCCGTTGTAGGGGGTGTGGGGACGCTATCCTAGCAGTCCCCACCGGTCACAATTATGGTCCGGTGTCTCAAAAGCCACAAGACCTTGGTGGGGGGTGTAGGTGGGCAGGGTTGCTTCATCGCTTTCAGAATCCCTCTGCCTTTCACTGGAGCAATTGTCTGTGTAGCCTTTGTGTCCTGGTGTCCTTGCTGTGTCCGTATGGCTGAAAGACAGATCTGCGTTCAGGGACTGAATCCAAAACACGTTAAAAATTGACAGTTTGCTCTTCACGGTCTTTGCTGGCAAGACTGCCCACAATCATTCTTGAAGACCAAGAAAAAAAAACTTTTAGAAATTAGAATTTGAAATTTGTCTCAGCTACCATATACTGGGACCACGTGAGTGTGTTAATGTCACATTCAGTCAGGAATTTCTGGAGAATGCTTCAGCCTTTCCAGGAAAGGATGATGTAGCAGGCTTCATTTGTGAGTTTCACATTAAACTGGCAAAGCAGAGATGAGTTTTCCTCACATCGATGCACGTAAAAGCAAAGCTGACATGAGACAAGACACTGGATCCCCTCTTTGTGACCCTGAGTCAGAAAAAAGCAAAGAGAGAATTTATCCTCATTCAGTCACAGATGCCTCATCAAGCTCAGCGAACCTGCGAGAAGTCTGACCTGCCAGGGTCCAGTCAGGCCAGGCTCCAGCTAAAGTTACGCAGACAGTAAGGTCCCGTTACAGCAGAGGTTCTGACGAATCTGTCCCAAGGGTGCAGACAGCGGCTAAGGCTTTCAAGAAGCCGGTACTTTCCGCGGAGTCTTCGGCACCTTCATCAGCCTGGAAATGATAAACAATTCCGTCAGAAAAAAAAGCGCTAAGCATGAAATGTGCGTCAAAGCAAAAGCCATCCAGAGAGCATCTGAAGAAAAGCTTAGAGCAGAAGGACGAGTCATCAAGGCCTCCAGTGTTGAGGAGGCTGGAGTAACTCACAGTTCATTTATGAGTGCTTGTAGGGCACTGCATTATGGTAAAATAATCCAGTGTGAACATTGTCTGTTCTAGTGACAGCTGCTAATGAGACAGAGAGTGCTTGTCACACACAGGGGGGTCGTGCTGATCTTTTTTCAATCGGCCTTATAACAGTCACATATCCTTATTGCTGTCCCTCTGCACTGGCCACATTTTTATATAAATTGGAAGTTCTAATGTTATGTGCGATTTGAGTCTACAGTCAGTGGAAGGTTAACATCACGAAACCACACTCAGACATTATCCCCACAAACTGACACTCAGACATTATGATCCCCACAAACTGACACTCAGACATTATGATTCCCACAAACTGACACTCAGACATTATGATCCCCACAAACTCACACTCAGACATTATCCCCACAAACTCACACTCAGACATTATGATCCCCACAAACTCACACTCAGACATTATGATCCCCACAAACTGACACTCAGACATTATGATCCCCACAAACTGACACTCAGACATTATGATCCCCACAAACTCACACTCAGACATTATCCC